GATGCTAAGAATGGGATCCTGGATCCAGCCTTTTGTATGAAGGAGACACATTGATAACCCATATTTAATCCCTAAGGAAAAAAACAAAAAGCAAAAGGCACTGCACTGACCCCTTCGAGGAGGACAGTACTATTTCAGAGACACCAACAAAAAGAGTCTGTGTTGATACAGAAATTAAAAGCATTATTTAACCATAGAAAACTCATCGGAATCTAAGAGGCAGCAGCCAGCTAGTGGTAAATGGGGAGGGAGTGGGAAAGGGGGAATGATTACAAGAAGTTATAGAAACGTTGATTATCAGCTCTTAAAAAAAATAGACAAATCAGAGCAAGAAACTCTTGCTTCTAATGAGGAAGAATTCAAACATTGTCCCATCCCTGTCCAAACGGTTTAAAGACAAAAGCAGCAAAAAACCGTTTATGAAATTGAGGTGCCTTTATGTCCACTCTAGAAAACTGTGCCATGTGGTCAAATTTATTAAAACCTGAGTCTTGAAGTCTGCAAAGAAAAAAAGAAAAGAAATTATACAAAGGCCAAAAAAAGAGGAAAGGTAGAATCAGAATCCCATTATCCAGAAATGATCCTCTCCTTTCAGAACTTTCTCTCTGGATGTATAAATTCTATTTCCTTCTTCCTTTTCTTTTCTTTTTAAATTTCAGTCCAAATGGGTATCATCTTTGTTGTAAAACCCCCCTTTTTTTACTAGAAAATATTTTTTCATTTAAGACATACACCTCTAAATCACCCTCTTATAGCCACGTATTACCCTACTATCCTATGCGTTCATTATTTTTAATTCCTCTTGCTCTAAATATCGAAGTTGTTTTCAGATGTTTAAATCTAATGACACTGTAGTGAAAATTCCTGCTAAAACGGTCACCAGCCTATTTCTTCAGGAGAAATTCTTTGAATTGGAATTTCTGGGTCACAGCGTACACGTATTTTTAAAGGTGTTTGATAATGTCTGCAAAACGATCTCCTCACCCATTTAAAAAAAAAACACTTTAAAATAGAGACTAGTTTAAGGCATGTGTGAAAGGGCCACACGTGTGTTTCTCAAAGAGCCTTAGGGGGTGTCTACTTCTTCCTAATGCAGCCACCGCAGCTGCTGATTGAGTTAAATAGGGAGAGATGGGGAGAGGATCACGCCACTTCCCTGCTTGAACTTTGAAACTAAACTATTCCTGAGAATGTCTCATTAAGTGAATTTTATGAAGACTTCCTGCCAGGAAACACGCCACAATCATTTATATTCCAAGCATCTATAAGCAAAATTCATCATGAATGTCTAACCAAAGCCTTATCATATAAACATCTGGAGAAAGAAACAGGACTTTAGGTGGAGAGCCGAGAGGAGAGCCATTGGAATTACAGACTTAGGCTGGAGGAAAGACAGGCCGGGGAGGTTCTGAGACTGTGGTTTGCAGAGGGAAGGAAGAGGCTGCTGTCAGAGGGCTCATTATCGATTAGGAAAATTCCAGAGTGAAAGGGACAAGCCACGGGCTTGCCAGTGTGGTAAGCCACCCTGAGATTCTGCAGATTCTGCTGCTGCAATATATAAATATTCATTTGTCAACAGCTTCCCTGGGAGAGAGAACACAGGTCTTCGAGCACAAAGACTCTCAGCAGCTACTCGATCATAGGTAGACATTTAGCCCTCTGAAGCTTAATTTCCCCATCTGTAAAATGGGTTAGTAATCTGAGGGACACTTTTTACAATAAATTACCAAGTGGAGGCCTGGTGACATAGTGGTTATGGGTTGGGCTACTAGCCACAGGGCAGCAGTGCAAACCTTGAGCTGCTCCATTGGAGAAAGATGAGGCTTTCTACTCCCATAAAGAGTCAACGTGTCTGTCGGAAACTCACAGGGCAGCACTGTGTTTGGTTTAGTTTGGGTTTCTGCCTGTCTAGGAGTCTCTCAGTGGTACAATTAACTCACTTGACTACTAATGAAAAGGGTGAAGGTTCCCAGCAGAATTCACTTCAGAGGACGGCACTGAAGCTACAGCTCAGGGAGAGGGACATGTCTGATGAGAGCACACGGGAGCAAATGAAGGGGGAGGAAGAGAGAGTGGAGCACATCCTGGCTTACCAAACTTTGAGGACGATATTCTGGCTCAGAGCAGCCAATCCACAGAGAAGACTGTACAGCCGGCCCCACTCTGAGTTACGACATCCCTCACTGACCCATAGCCCTACAGGGGACAACGCTGGGGACACAGTGTGGGAATTGTGCCTGATGTGATCCCACCACACCAAGGCAAAACAGTAAGGGCGTGCAACAGAACAGCCAGGGGAACAGAGCAACGAAGTCCCCAGGGAATACCAAAAATAGACTTTGGGGCCAGGGCTTGGCGCCCCAGCAGACTCAACTGGAAAACATGCCTAAAGGTCAATAAACAGTCTTTGGACTAACTACCAAAAAATTAATTAATTAACTTTAAAAAAAGAAAAAGGGTGGAGGTTCAAGTCCTCCCAGCGGTGCTCCCAAAGAAAGACCTTTCCCCCCCAAAATCAGCTGCCAAAAACCCTATGAAGCACAGTTCTGTTCTGAAGCTCATGGGATGTCAGAATCATTGCAATGTTTGAGCCCACCGTGAAAGCCACTCAGTCAGTCCATCTTGTTGGGGGTCTTCTTTTCAATTGATCTTCTACTGTGTCAAGCATGATGTCCTTCTCCCGGGACCCTCTCTCCTGATGGCATCCTCTCTTCTGGCTGTCCTTCTTGCAAGACAGATTTGTACATTCTTCGTGGTGTATTCGATATTCTTTGCCAGTGCCACAATTCAAATGCATCAGTTCTTCTGTGGTCTTCCTTCATTAGTGTCCATCAGGTTTCATTTGCATATGAGATGAATGGAAATATGATGAAGTGGGCGAGGCACACCTTAGCCCTCAAATCGATTCCAAGCCCCCAACCAAGCTCATTGCCATTGAGTTGATTCTGACTAGGTCACGCATTGGAAAGCTAACCCCAAGATCAGGGGTTCAAAACCACCAGCTGTTCCTCAGGAGGAAGATGAGACTTTCTACTTGACTAAAGATGTTCAGTCTCAGAAACCCACGGCGTCAAAGCCAATAGCACAGAGAAAGCCCACTATGATGAGCACGGTGTGTATCAAGGAGCCCTGATGGCTTAGTGGTTACGAGATTGGGCTGCAAACTTCAAGGTCAGCAGTTCAAAATCACTACTCGCTCCTGAGGCGAAAAGGGGGCTTTCTACCCCTACAGTTACAGTCTCAGAAACCCACAAGGGCAGTTCTACCCTGCCCTACAGGGTTGCTATGAGTCAGCCGTGACTCCGTGGCAGTGAGTTGAGTTGAGGTGAGTTGAGTGAGTATGGAGTCTATGGCACCACAACCCTCCCTGTTGGAGGTTCCAGAGGGGGTCAGAATTCCAAGGAAGGCAAGAAAAAGGATCTTGGCCAATAGGGACTAAGGCTGCCCTTGTGCCAAAGTGGGAAAGAGTCATTCCTCAAGGCACTGTCTCCAAATCAGGACAGATTTTAAGACTGTAACCCTGAACAGAGAGGGACCAAAGACCCAGTCTCCTTGGGTAAGAATGGGAGTGGGGGGGGGGATCTTCCAAAAGACCCAAATGTAAGAGTGAGTCAAACCAGAACACATCCTTGAAGCCCTTCAACACCACTCCATGGATCTCCATGGATCGGTACAGAAAAACGTCCCTCTGCCTTTCTGAGTCTGTTTCCCATCTTTAAATAGGTCTAGCCCACGAACCACCGAAATGAGATGATCACAAGAGAGGTGCCTGACACGAGACTGGATGCAGTACGTGCTTAGTGAACACATGGTGTTTTTAGTAAAAGGCAGATTGCAGGAAAATAGTCACAGTAATAAATTCACTGTCGAGTCGCTGTGTAGAATTGCTTCTTCGGGTTTCTGAGACTTTAAATCTTTACCAGAGTAGGCAGCCTCATCTTTTTTCCCTCGGAGCCGCTGCTGGGTTTGAATTGCTGCCCTTACGGAGGCAGCTCAGTGCCACCAGGGCTCCTGGTGTACAGTCTGATCCCGTGTCTCCTTGAAAGTCTGTATAGAAAATCAATGGGAGAAAACTACATCCAGGTCTGAGCGCCAAAATAAGAAAAAGGGTGATTTCTGAGTGATGGATGACAGAGATTTGTAGTTTAGAGCTGTACCTTTTTGTATGTTGTAAGTTATTTTTTCTAGTCAGGGTGTACTCTAGGCTTTTATAATACAAAGAATTAAAGTGAAAGGGAAGAAGAGAAAAAAAGAAAGGATGGGGAGAAGGGAACAATAAGAATAGAGTTCGCGTTTCTTTCATTTGTCTTTATAGTCTTCCTATACTGACTGTGCTACTTTCTCAAACATTAGCATGCAGGCTGTGGTGATAGTGAGAGAGAAAGGAAAGAGGAGGCGGGAGGAAGGAAAAATACGAACAGAACTAGTAGTTCTATCTGCGTGCTCAAACCTGAGAGAATGACAAAATGTACGGGACTACACACGCCACTTAAAGTGCGCTGTAAGGAGTTCCCCTACCAGGGGGAAGCTTATCCTAGGCTATGAAGGGAAACCAAGGTGCAAGTGTGAGTGCCGCTTCGTTTCAGCTGTGCGGGAAAATGCACGGAGAAAGGATTTGAGGAAATATGTACCAAACTGTGAGCAGTGACCACCTCTAAATGCTAGGATTCTGCTTGGTCAGTACGTTCCTATCGTGTCGTCTATTTCCCAGCTGGTCCACAAGAGGCCCCAATCGCTTCTACTCTCAGACAATATGCACGCCCAAAGAACATAACCATCCCAATAAACCAGCGGTTCTCAACCGGTGGGTCGCGACCCCCCTCGAACGAACATTTCACAGGGGTCGCCCGATTCATAACAGTAGCAAAATGACAGCTGTGGAATAGCAACGGAAATAATTTTCTGGTTGGGGGCGTCACCACCACACGAGGAACTGTATTAAAGGGTCGCCGCATTAGGAAGGTTGAGAACCACTGCAATAAATAATAAACCCCTCTTACTTGCTTGATGGAAACCAGCAGCATCAGGGCAAGGAAAGGCCTTCCTGGGGCCTGAAGAGCGAGCTTCCTGTGGGAGAAAAGAGCGCTAGGCTCCCAGGGTGCAGGGGTGCCCCTTGACCGCCCACCGGCTCCCAGCAGGGGCCAGGGCTGGGCTCTCCTTAGGCCAGGCCCTGGCCGGCTCCGTCTCAGCCTCATGGTCCTGGCCGCACTGTTCAGCAGCTTGTGCACATCTCCCCGCCGGTCCACGATGTACCGCAGGCCACCTCCTCTTGCATTCCTCTCTGGACAACCAGGGAATGTTTGCACAAACCCGGCACGCCGCCAGGGCGTCTGAACCCTTCGAAGGGAGATCAACGGGATCTCCTAATTTTCTCATCAGTGGGGCCTCATCCCCGCCCCCCACCCCACCCCCACCCCCGCCCCAGGCACCCTCCCCGCCAAAGGCAGGCAGATTGTCCCCAGACCTTCACCAAGTGCTCTCTGGGACTTCCCGGGCAGAGGCCCAGGAGGAGGAAGGCGGCCGTGGGGAATCCCCACTCTGAGGGTCCTGCTTCAACCCAAAGGCCAATGGGAGGCCGTTTCCAGACCTGTGAGCAACCGCCAGGTTTGAGGTGGGCTTCTTCTTGAGCGCGGGATGTTTGATCCTAAAGCATTAAGCTTGTTAGGGCTAAGCAGAGACCAGCAACAAAGCAGGGCCTCCTCTGGGCCCTGTATATGCCCAAAGAGGACAAGGTGGCTGTCCAATACTGCCTTTTCACTCCGGAGACGCAAGTTGAGTCTACGCGTTAACAAAATCCTGTCTTGAAAAGTCAAGCATCCGCTCCCTTTGCCTGCCGACTTCTCTGAGCCGCGCTGCTCAGGCCCCCATGAAGACCCTATGTAATCAGCAGTGCATCGCTTACTGTTAGTGCGTTTGGTCATTCTAATCATAGTTGTGTTAGTCTGGGTACTTTAGGGAAACAAATCCACCGAAACTCATATGTACAGGAGGGAGTTTAATATAAAGGGTAAGTGCACATCAAGAAAACATCCCAACCCAGTGCTGCTCAAGCCCATAAGTCCAACATTAACTCATATGTCGGACACCAATCCACAAAGTCCTCCTCCATCTCACAAAACAGATGCAATGATGCCAACTGCAGAAGGAAAACCAAGTCAGTGAACGTGTAAGCATCTCAGAGCTGGCAGGGGTCTCCACACGGCTGCTCCAGCACTCAGGGCTGCATCGGGGTAGGTCCATGTGGCTTCTCCTTGGGGATGTCTTGCAGGAAGTGAGCCTTGCCAGCTGAAGCAGGGAACTGGCTAAGGCAGCTGCACCCCAGTCCGTCCATCAGAGAGCAAGAGACCCGAGAACTAGAAAGGTGAGGTTCACCAAGCCATTTATCCCTCCGCCCCTTCAGTTAACCCCACATGTGCTCATTGGCCAGGTTGGCACAATAAACTTTAACCATCTCAATAGTTTACATCATTGGCCACTGGATAGCTGAGAAATAGTGACGTTCAGAGAGGCTGCGTATCTTACCCAATGCCACACGTTAAATAAATGGCAACGCTAGGATGATTATAGATCCTCGTTGCCATGCTGTCCATTCTGACTCAGAGCCATCCTACAGAAGAGGGTAAAAGTGCCCCTTTGGATTTCGGAGACCGTAACACTTCACGGGAGTAGAAAGCCCATCTTTCACCCACAGAATGGCAGGTAGATAGCGCATCTTTTGACTAAAGTCATCTGGCCACTGCTGCTTGATACGACATTCATTTTCTCAGTCTCTGTCTGTCACCATATCTTTCTCCTCTCTCTCTCATTCTCGCTCATTTGTTTCTTGTCAAGGGGGTGAAGCCTTAGAGAGCAGATAAGCAGTTTTACATTCCACAATTCATATTTCATTTCACAATTCATCTCATCACGACTCATCTTACCTCCTTGTGCAACCTGCCTCCACTACGCCTCACCTAACCCTTCTGAACCTAGTCCTTGGGCAAATGCTGCCTCCTTCATTTCAAATGAATGGCCCATTCTTCTAAGGCAGTGTTTCCCCAGGTGAGTGGCACTGCCCCCTGGGGGTGCTGGAATGATCCAGGAGGGCTGCAAAAGCAGATAAGAGAAACTTTATCCTAGAGCACCTGTTCTCAACCTGTGGGTCTCGATCCCTTTAGGGGCTCGAATGACCCTTTCACAGGGGTTGCCTGATTCAAACCAGTAGCAAAATTACAGTGATGAAGTAGCAATGAAAATAATTTTTTGGTTGGGGGGGTCACCACCACATGAGGAGCTGTGTGAAAGGGTCGCAGCATGAGGAAGGTTGAGAACCACTGTCCTAGGAACAACAGTTTTTAATTGACAACAGTTTTTAATTGACAAGAGGGCACTGAGTAATTTTTTTTCTAAAAAGCCAGTAGTAGGCCAAATAAATATATGATCCCAAGTTCTAAGGTGAGTGTAGCTCCCTGGTGTTATTGAGTGAGAAGGCGTTCTAGCATAAGAAGCGAGACAGCCCCCAAGAGAGAGTAGAACTTCCCAATCGACTTCCCAAAGTGGATAGAGCTTCCTAAGGCAATCCCAAAGAGATTGACATAATAGCCCCCTCCAGATTCCATCACTGTTCTTTAAAGAGATAGGAAAACTAATCACCAGCTTTGCAGAGAGATGAGAGATACTCCAACTTGAAGTGCCCCTGAGTGTTACAGAGTAGCACCACGCCAAGGGCTGTCATCCTTATGGAAGTGGAGCACCAGGCCTTTCTTCCACGGTGCCACTGGGTGGGTTTGAATGGCCAACCTTTGGATTCGCAGTCAAGTGCAAGCTGTTAACATCCCTCAAGAACCCAGGCCCCTTCAAAAGCTGAGCATCCAAGGAAGTTTTTTTCTTCCTTGGGGGCCTATTTCAGGTCATCCTCTGTGCTTGCCACTGAACACTCCTCCCTTGAACGGTTCTCCCCCATTTTCTCCAAGGCCTCAAGTGCCCTTGAGAGGAGATTCAGGCTCTCACGACTCACTCTGAAGGGCAGGTTTAATATGAAAGTTTCCGGCTGCGACAGCCCTTCAGATGAAGAAAACTTCTTCCCTGTGTGACTCAGGTCATAGCATGTATGGGTGTCACATGCTGTGCTGTTCTGCTAAACTCACAAAGTTCTTGGCACCGGGTCACCCCAAAGGAGAGGCAAGACTTTGAAGAGGGGTGTTGGGGTGA